CTTTCCCTGACGCTTTTTGGAATTCAGTCATCAGGAAGGGTATATAACTAGTTAGAGAAACAGCATAGATCAACTCCAGAAACTTGAATAAAGAGCATGGCATGAGTGTGTCGTGTAGAACTACAAATATATAAATGGCATTTTAAGATAAAGCCGTTAATAGATGGAGATATTTCTCATCCTCAGTTGTCTCCCTATGGTTGTGGCTTTGCTCACAGTTGCGAAGTTCAGAATTTTTTTTGGTGTCTTTCTAAATAGTAACAACTGTACACTTGTGGTCAAGAGAAGTTCTTAGCATGTACCACACCTCCTACATATACTACTTATTTTCAAATTAATTATTTTTTTTTCTCTTGGGTTTACATATTGTAAAAGAGAATGCTAGAGAATTTCTGTCCAGAAGATCAAGTTCATAAGCTTTTCAATTTATTTCCCTCTTTTCTGGCTCCACTTTATATGTGTATCAAATCCTTTTTAACGTTATTTATTTATCATGATTTTGTCTTTTTATAATTTCTTAAAAAGTAAATACATACATACTCCTTTAAAACAACTAATACTATCATGCTAATGACAAAAAAACCAACCCTAGGCTACCACCCTGTTTTGGCCAATCTGTCAGGGGTTTAAAGAGATCTAGGGTCCATCTTGATTCAATATATTCTTCTCATATAGTAGTATCAGAATTGCCATGATGGGCTCTAACTGTTATGAACTGACAAAGCAAATATTGCTGCAAAGAAGACACAAGGATATGGAGTGAGGCATAGTTTGGGAGTTATGCAAGAGTATATAAAGGTGACAGAGTCCGTGGTGTATTAGGAGAGAAGTCAAGTGTGGTGGTAGTTTTGGTAAACCTGGGATGTTGCCCATTCAAGACTGATGACAGCCTCACGTACACTTCCTTTCTTTACATATGGGATTTTGGATTGATGTAATTTCATTACAGAATAGTTTATGATATTCTGGGTTGTTTGTTCTTAATCTCTTCTGTGGTACCTTTTCTGGCAAGAACAGATAGTCATTTTCTGTTACTGATCTGGAAGAGCTTTCTAAAGATCTGTCAGTTCAGCAGCCAGTTGAGTGAGCTAATTGTTTATACGGTTTTAGTCAGAACTGTAGTGGATCTAAATCAATAGACCTCCAGTTAAAGTTACACCAATTAAAAGGTACTGATCTAATTATTTAAAAAAAAAAAAGTGTCATTACTGCATGCTAACAGTTTGATGCTACTTCAAATCTGTATACAACCTGAACAATAGTAAATACTAATGGAGACAACATGCCTATTCTTATTTGAAGCTAAGAAAATCAGCCTGCCTTTCTGTATATCACAGCAAATATACTTGACTCTTCGAGATAGATTTCAGCTCACCTAACATGCATGTGCTTATTCTTGTGGAGGATACAAAATCAGAGTATTGGTTTGATTAAAAGATGTTGCACGTATTTGCGCATATTTTTAAACGACAATTCAAAGGCATAGAGTTTTCATCCTTCAATTGAGACACAGAATATTTACATAGAAAATAATCAAAAATCAAAGAAAACTAAAAACGTGAATCTCATCTGGGACACTTTAAATCCTTTCTTTCAAGAAAGGTAAAGTGGTCACTTCATTTTTTTCTCATCTAAGGTAAATGGACAAAAAAAGTTTGACATTCAGGCTGTGGGGTTTTTTTCTCCCCTTTTTTCCATTGTGGAAAAGGGTTATTGCTTTTTCTTATATCAGTACTGAGTGGTGTTCAGTTTTATTTATTTTTAAAATAAGGAAACTTGCAGCTGTAACAGCAGATGGACTTCTCCTCTGATTTGCATATCTTTATTCTGCAGCCCATTAGGTTGCAAAGTCAATTTTGCATGTGTGTTTGACTCTAACTGAAGGCAACTTGCCTAGCTTTTATAGTCTTTCTGAAAAAGGGTCCTTAATGCAGATATAACAATAAACTGTACATTTGACTGCATTAGATAATTTTCACTCAAGTTTTTTACTGCCTTTCATTTTGCATGAGGGAGTTCTGAAAAATCTAATGAAGTACAGCACCACCTGTGAAGTGCTCCCTGCAAATGTTAAGATGAAATGAGTGGGAAATACCAACAGCAGGCAACTTCAACTGCAATGAAGAAAATGTTCTTCCTTTAAGATAATTAACTTCCTATCTAAATTATACTACGGCAAAATAGAGGTAGATAAATTAACTGTTCAGCTTCCAACATATATTCACAAGTTTGCATTTTTACAATCAACAAATGAAGATGTAGAAGTTACAATCTTTATAATGCTATTCAGTGCCTCTGCTGTAAAAAAGAAAGTGAGGAACCTGTATAAGGCAAAAAAGAAGACTGAGATTAAAAACCTTGGTTTCACCGCTTTAAGCAGATAGGTTTCAATCCATGAAGCATTCCAGGAACAACTGTAGACACCACATACTGGGAAAGCTATTTCTATGCTTAACTTCTCTTATAGTTAAACTGTATGGATTAAGAGAACATCCCAAAAAGTTTTGCTATAAGTGCAGCAAGGAACAAAGCTAGGTTGGAACACAGTCTTGAAGGCCTTCCAGCTCTTGGCGCTTGATGGATAAATAAATTGGCAGTATATGATTCCAGCCAGTTCCAGTTTATTTTCCCTGCAGTGAATGCTGAGGGAGTACTAAAATGCAGGAGCTGGAGGTGAAACCTTTATGGGTAGTAGGTGTGGTATAATCTAAAGAAAGATGTGCTTCCTCCTGCCAACTGTTTCTCTCATTGTGTAACAATTTTTTTTTCTCGCTTCCTCACAGTTCTTTTTTATGTGCTTATGTGAAAAATGCCTGAGTAAAATTAGGCCTTCATTCTGTTTCAGGCAAAGGCCAGCAAATCACAAAATACCACCCATATGATGATATATATCATCATCTTGTGGTTAAATGTAAGCGTGATAGTCAACTGAGTAAAAGACTGATTCTTCTAATACTTATCCTATCGCACCAAACAGGCTGAATTTTTGCAGAATTCCATTCCTATGTAAGAAACTTAGAGTAGGACTGTGGAGATAAGTTTGTATGAAAAGCTTGTTTTTCACTAAATCTGTATTAAGATTGGCTAGATTAACATTGCACAGCTAGTGAAACTATTTGAAATCTCAAATTTACTCCCAAATCTATGAAATACTGTGAAATTTATTGTACAGCTAGGAAATGGAAACTATGTGCCAAATCTGTCTAATGAAAATGATATCAACATGAATTCAAATTTGTTAATATACATAAGATATATGAGGTGAAGAGATTGGGGGGCACATGAAAGAATCTAGCAATAATACCTAGTTTGATAGTGGGGGAAAAAAAATAAGTGGAGTGAAAGATCTCTGTCCTTGAAGACTGACTTCATGATAAAGTCTCTCTTTCTGTAATAAAGTAACTCAGAAAAAGGCCTGAAAGATCCTGGAGGAGATGCTGAAAGTTTTGTGGAGTTCAGAGGTATGCAGATCCTCTGTGGGAAAAGGACTGCCTTAGAATTTGCCAAGTTAAATAGTTGCATCAAATCACTTCCTATGTTCTATCCAATGTTTTAGCAGTAGTATTTTGAACAGGCCTGGCATCACACATTGATCTGGCTGTTAGGCTGACAGCTTCCTAAGCAAATAAAACTTACCTCCCTATAGCCTCCCTGTTCCCCAGCTTGAAAAAACCAAAACATGCACTTAAACGTACAGAATATGAAGGGTTTATCTATTATTGTAGTAGTACTACTATCCTTATCCTTGATGGACAGTCGTGCAAAAGAGGACAATTGATGTTCTCAGACTATCATGATAAAGCAAATACCAGATAGAGATATTTGGAAATGTTAACATAATACATAATTACAGTGCCTTTGAATTGGAATACAAAACTCATTGTGTTTAAAAATATATGTAATTTAAGTGTTTGGTCAGTTAAATATTTTCCACATTAATGGTCTGACACTTTCTTGGAAAATCCTATCAGCCCTAAATATTCAGTTATCCAAAAATATTCAGTTTTCCTTAAGTAAAATGTGTGTCCACCTATACTTTCAAGATGGTTAGTAGATTAATTCTTACCTTGTAAAATCAAATTTCATTCTTAAATGAGGGTGGAATTCAGGAAAAAAATATCTGTTACATTAGCACTTCAACTAGAAAGTGATTTCACTGCTTCCACTTGTTTTGTTTGTACAAAACCAGGAAGAAAGTAAAACAATAACATTTATTTAAAAAAAAAAGGGGGGGGGGGGCAGATTTTCTTACCTTTTCCAGTTTGGATAGAGCAAGAGAGTAGCAGTCTTTGGCTCTGAACTGCATGAATCTCATATTGGCTGGGTGAGTTAGTTCTCTGAAAATGCTTAGGCTTGAGAACAACCTGTATTTTAAAAGAATGTTACAGTAATAGCTCTACAATTGTAAGGTGCTACAATAATACTATGTTTTGTGTTCATGTCCAAGTATTTAATTAAGTGCCTGAGAACTGTGGCATTTGGCAAAATGAAATGCTAGTATAAAAGCAGAGAAAACTGTACAAAACATTCTCCGTATATTTACAGAAGCAAATATCTATTCAAAGGTTGAGCTTATAAAATATTTTAATGCTGGAAGAAGCCACGTATTTTAATTACCGTAGATTTTATTTGATAATTTCTAATATGACACATCTGTAGGAAACAACAAAAAAAAACCAAAACTATACAGCCTTCACTAAATATTTGATTGCATGTAAACTACCATTACATTAGAATTGGCTATTGGCTACTAGAATCGACTATTTATATTTGTTTTGGTTTTTTGTTTTTGTTTTTTGCAGTTCTTTTATATGTTCTGTGTCTACAGGCTGAGAAACCTAGATTGAATCTAACATTTCTTGGGAGATTAGGAATTTAAATTGCTGAGCAAATCAGATATATACTTGTATTCTTGCTTTGAAATATTTACATATATAAATATTTGTAAGTTTAAAAAGATACATTACTTAACTGTAATTCAGACTTTCAACAACAACAACAAAAAAGCAGTGAAAACAGATTAATTCTGAACTGGCTGCATTACCCAGATGTTCTTGAAGCAAACTAAAGAGTCTGCCCACCATACACACAGCCCTCAGCGCTCTGAGAAGTAGAAAGAGCTTTGTAATTTAGCCTACCCAAATACTAAAGAATTTGGAAGAGAACTCAAATTATTATTTGAGTATTCCCTTTTTTGACTAGTAACATCCTAAGAAAATGAGGCACATATGTTTGCACCCTGTTCCACTGATTCTGAAAGTACTTATTTACATGTGGCAATAGATTATTATGTCATTAATGATTAAAGCATCCTGGCTTGTGTTCATTCAGATAAAATAGATACATATTAAATCTGGAATTTTTATTTTTATGGGAAAGCTAGCAGTTTCTGACAGGTTTATGGGCTTGGGGTATTTTTGAATCACAGCACATTTTCAACTCTCCAAAATTAGGTTATTTGGCCACTTTGAATAGACAGATAGCAACTAGTTTTTAGTAACTGTCTGGTGGTTTCATAACACAAAACAATATTACTTGAACAGTCTGTGATGTTGCTCCTATTTCTACTATTCAGAAGCTATTAAGCAATATCTTGTATTATACTGGGCATCGGAGTATACTTTCTGGGGCAGAAAGACAAGCAGGCATACTGTCTGAATTGTCACATGGAAGGGAAAATCAGCATCCCAATAAATAAGAGAGTGAGCATCTCCAAAAGTTGACAAGTGCTCCACTGCACTCTAGCTGTAGCAGCACCTTAAAAATAGAAGTGCCAGGTGTGACATTTACTTGCTTGAAAATGCAGAGAGAATTTTGACACAGAATGCTGTATATAGAAGTGAAGCAAGACTTTCCATTTAATGGTGTCTCTATTTTTAAAGAGAAGAACTTAAATAGAGGGAATGGCACAAAGTGTGGAGTGATGGTTATAACTAGCCTGAATAATCTGTAATTATTTGTAGATTGCCTAAACCCATAGGCCAGACATTTTGGCTCTTTAGCATTGAAAATTCATCTTAAACTCTAGATATTCCTTTCTTTAAAGTGTTTTTAGCTTCCATAGCTGTTTCACTAGAAGAAGTCCTTTATCATCTCTGAAATATTCTGTTCTTGTGAAACAGTCAGCAATTTGCATTGATAGAGAGGACTTTTGTAGAAATAATGAATATGTTATGAAAACAGACATAGAAAATGAGCATTAGTATATACATTTTCAGTTTGGACGCATGGAGATATCTTAAAAATCTGAAATATCTTTTGATAATTTCTTTTTTTCTAAAACTAGATAAAAAGAAAGGTTCCAAACCTTGGGTGGAATACTGATTTTTATGTAAAAACATAGTTTATGACATCAGGAAATTCAATTTAAAGGAATACTTGCCAAGAAATATGCAACACTTAACCGCTAAGGCCAAGTCTCTGTTCACTTAATCTGAAAAATGATGGTGGGAGACAGAATCAAGACCTGGTAATGCTTTACAACTGATGAAAACATGAATGGCTGTACACATATGTTGAAGATGATTAGTCATCTTCAGTTCTAACATTTCTGGATACCCAAAGTGAACCTCTTTTAAGCAGCTTATTTTGATTTGGGAATGAATGTTGAGCATTTCTGATGATGTAGTGTCTCTGCTGAGGCTCTGTGTAAATGAGGGCTTCTGGATTCATCAGTTGCTTCTAAAAAATTTTTGTTTTAACTCCCACATTGGCCAGTCTTCATCATCAATATCATCTGTAATTTTTCATTTATAAGACTTGAAGGGAGCAGAAAAACAAGTTGAGCCCTTCAAGCTAGAGATGTATGGTTCTCTTAAATTATTGGAACCATCAACTCTTTTTGATAAGATTTGCTGCATTTTCTTCCTGTGCAAGGAATGAGATGGCATGTTTTGCAATCACATAAGCCCTGTTTTCTCATCAGATCTTTCCAGAATGACTGGCCTGTCTTTTTTTCCCCCTCTTCACCACACAAACAAACCTAGGAAATATTGTTTACATCAGGATAAAGTGACTAGAGGTCATTAATGAAGAGATTCTCATTAGATACTATCATGAGGAAAAAAGCCAGTATGTTGTGCTACTGATTACAGCTTGGAGAATTGTGCATGTCTTGAAATTACCTTCAGAATCGGCAAGTTCTAAATGGCAACTGCTGCCTGACTTTCCCTAGTCCTCAGTGCCAGTGATTCACTATTATAAAGCATTTTCTCCCAAATGATTCCGTTATGAAGGAAGGTTCTTGGTTAAAACCAAAACAAATGAATGTCGCTGATGGGTGAATATGAACAGCTGGTCTAATTAGCAAAGATTTGCAAACATGATTGAGATTATTATAGAATCTAATAAATTCAAAGCTGATGCTGTTTACAGAAAAAGCATGGGATAGATTAGGTTGGAAGGAGGCTCAGGAGGTCTCTAGTCCAACTCTCTGCTCAAAGCAGGGTCAGCTGTGAGCTTTGACCAGGTTTCTCGGGGCTATCCTAATGGGCCTCGAAACCCTCCCAAGGATGGAGGCTGCACAACCTCCTTAGGCAACATGCTCTGCTGCTCTTAAGAGTGAAAAGTTTTTTTCTGTATATCCAGTCTGAGCTTCTCTTCTTCCAACTTTCTTACACCCACTGTCTCACTCGTGCAGCACTGTGAAGAGCCCGGCTCCATCTTCTCGATAACCTCCCTGTAGGTACTGGGGGGCTGCTGTTAGGTCCCTGTGAAGTTCTCTCTTCCCTCCAGGCTGAGCAAGCTTCGTTCCCTCAGTGTCCCCTCACAGGACAAGTGCTCCAGCCCCCTGACCATCCAGGTGGCCCTCTGCTCAACTCATGCCAGGTTATCCATGTCTTTCCTATACTGAGGGGCTGAAAACCGCATGCAGTATCTAAATGCAGTCTAACCTGCGCGGAGTAGAGCACAAGTCCCTCCATCTACAGGCTGTGCTCCTGTTAATACCACCCAGGATGCTGTTGGCTGCCCTTGCTGCCAGGGCCCATGCTCTGTTTGCTGTCTGCCAAGACCCCCCAGGTCCTTTCCAGCAGAGCTGCTCCTCAGCCAGTAAGTCCCTGGCCTGTATTGTTGCATGGGAGGGGTTATTCCTTCCCATGTTCAGGATTTGTCCTTGCTGAATTTCCCTTGCACAGATGTGAGCTAGATGTTGTATGACCTTTGCTTTTTTGCACAGCACACCTTGAAACAAAGCTCCAGCAACTTTATCATATTGTAACAATGATAAATGCCACTCATCAACCATTTGTATACAGTTTTTTTGAAGACTGCACTTAGTAAGTTAGTGTCAAATGAAATCCATGGTGCATTTTGTCAAGTCTTTGGTCTTTTCCCTCAGTTTTGTAGAGAGGGACTTCACAGAAATGGCAGTGCAAGCAGAGCCTAGATGTGGAGAGATGAATGCCAAGACTACCTACAAGTATGTATATCAGTGTCTCCTTATTGCAGTACAGTTTTGTAGGTCTGCTGATGCCAAAATATTGTATATAACAAATTATTTTTAGGCTTGTAATGATCACTTGATCTCAAGCATATTCTGAACAGCTTGTGATAATATGATGGTAGACATGCTAACGGTTACCATTTTAGCAGTTGTTATGTCTCTGTGAATAACCAACTATTAAATGTGATTGTGTAAGGAAAAATAGAGTTGGCAAACTTGGTGAGAATTAGAATCACTTAATGATGACCATTTGTGTGCACTGTAGTTTAAAAGGCTTTGTGCGTATGCTCGGGATCTTCTGTAGCTTCCTAGCTCTTTGAAATCGGGCTTTGATACAAACTCAGAGAGGTGCAATGCTGCTATACAAGATCTGCTAATAGCCTACTACAGATTAAGCACCTAGGGAATGGATTCTACATGCATAGATTAAACATAGGATAACCATACCTATGAGATGCAGCTGTGGTACCGCTTCACTTGTGTGCCAAGTGTTAAACAAAAATTTGTAAAGTGCTGATAAAAAACTGATAAAAATCCTGATTAATATTATACATTGTAGGTATAAGCTTGTACTTGTTAGGTAGCTCAAAAAACTTGTTAACAAGTTCTGAGGAAGTGGAAGGAATTTCCTCTTTAAATCCTGTTTTCTTCTGCATTAATTCTGTATCTTGCAGTGTATAATTACTTAAGCTTTTGCTGGCTGGAAATTTTCTTGTATTACTGTATTAAGGGACAGGCATTTAGATTTGAAAACTAACAATATAACACTTAGAACTAATAGGGACAGGAGATTAACAGTTGATCTAGTGATAAAATGTACAACATAACTTACAGAGAAATTCCAAGTTATTAGGTTTTTGTTAAAGTTGGATTTGGTCTATCAGCAAGATATGAAAACAAATTTCTATTAGGAAATCAGTTTCAAAACTGGCATCAGTAAAATTCATACTTTACTTAAGAGTGCCTTCTAGCAGAATTAGGTGAAATGACTGTCCAGGTACATAAGGCTAGATGGCCTCTTGCTTTGCATGTGAGGCACACTGGCTGCAGGCTTTCAGCACCAGGACAGGTCATTTTCGTGCTAAGGTCCCTCTTTTCTATCCCATTCTGGTAGATAAGGACTGGATGGGGACGAGAAAGCCCTAATCGGTCG